CGAGGCAAGGCGAGGCAAGGCGAGGCAAGGAACGCGTGCAAGCGAGCAAGGGACCGCTCGCCTTCCCATGCACGGCGATGCGATGCGACGCACTGCACTGCACTGCACCAGCGCTGTAGCCCGGCGTAAGGTCCTCTTGCGCAATCGGTCAGGGGGAAGACCATCAGCCTCGAGCCCGTCACCACGCCATCTCAGCAAGGTTGGCGCAGGATGAGGCTGCGAGTGTGATCAGAATCTAGAGACGCCAGGAAAGGCTCAGCGTCGGCCGGCGCATCCGATTTTCCCATCTTCAACGGCGCAGGGTCGAGCGTTTTTAGACTGCGATTCGCCACGGCGCGTGTGTCTGCTGGCAAGGGGCTGCGCAACTTTGACAGCTGCACCTGCAGGCCGAACAAAAGCGGTCAGCTCGTTGGCAGCAAGTCGGCCTCGGATGCACGCTAGCCTTGTCCAAATCGCATCCCGATATGGCAGACAATGCAAAAAGCCCAAGCGCTCGGACCGCTCCGACTTTGACGTCAACATCATCTTCGCCGCTCATTGTCTCGATGGGCATGCAGAAGACTATGAACACCCAAGCCGCCAAGAGAAAGTGAGGGCGCGAGGATCGTCACCATTGTCTCCTGAGCGATCCGTTCCTCGACCGGATCTTCCAATCTCGCCCGACCTTCTTCGGCGCAAGGTAGAAGCTGCTTGCACAGAAGCCTGGCCTACGACTCACACGTGCTGGACCTGCGGTTCACAGCATGTCGCCTCGAAATGGCTAGATCTCTTCTACCCTTGATGCGAACCAGAGACAGGGTTCCGAGTCCAGGCTGCATTCTCAAAGGCAAGGGCAGCAGAGATTGGCTCGGAATGCACCTTGCGTCGCCAACGCGCTTCACTCCGACCCGCCCAATCCAGCCGGCGGGGCGGCTAATCGACGCGTCTCAGGGTCCACGGCACCAACGAAATCGCGATGCATCGGGCTAATTTTGTGGTGTTAGAGCCGTAATGCGATAAAATCGAGCTTTGATCCTCGGCCGAGCTTTATAGCATCACGTGTAACAAGGACTCACATTCAAGTCTCGAAAGCAAGTCGAAATTCAACGGGATTCAAAATTTGTGTAGTCTGCGGTGGTCCAAGGCACTACACCACTGTGCCGGTCGCCAGATTTCTCCTGCTTCTCAGCGAGAGCGCTGCTAAGGCACGTGCGTCGTTCGAACTGAGAGCCGTCGAATCTGGCTGGCCTCGCATCGCAGCCAGAGGCAGTGGTGCCAGGCCTTGCGATGGCACAGAACAGCGAGTCTGCCAGTCACGACCGCAAAGTGAACTCGGCCTGGAAGCCAGCAGCAGTGAGTTCGAGCAAGCCCAGCGCGAGCCGTCGAGACCGTCGGTGGCATCGAGTGCGACACCTACACCTCCTTCCCTCTTTCTCTCCCTAGGTCACCTTATCCCCTCAAGACACATAATCAAGGTAAGCTTCGCCGAACAGCATACGCGGCACCATCGACACCAGACACACACGACGACAGAGACTATACGCATCGCAGATACGGACGCTTCGAGACAGCAAAGGCAGATGCGCAGCATAGCATTTCGACATTCGCAGCCGGCGCAGCCATCCGTATCACACAGCAGCCACCTACCGCATACCCATCTAGAGCCTTCCGATAGTGCTTTCGCACGACGACAGGCCCGCTTCAGCGTCATTGGGGCGCCCCGGGACAATCTACGACCCGCAGCATCAGCATACACTGCCGTTTCCATTACCAGCATCAGACGGTCTTTCGCACCAGCAATCGCAGGCATTCCGTAAGAGCAGCAACACCTTCGCAGACAAAGACGGAGCACACTTGGTCCGGCTGCTGGAGGTCGCAGATCACGTTGTTGGAAAGCATCGACGTTCAGGTTAGAAGGGCTGTTATCCCACCTCTTCTGGCAAAGATGGATCGTGACCCACGATGATGCCTTGCGAAGTGACAGAAAGCGATGCTAGACAGTAGACGTCTGTCTGTCACCCGCATTTCGCATGGCTTGCGAAGACACCACAACCAGGCAACGACCTGACACCGGCCTCGCCCTGAGCCGGCACCGACTTCACCAGCCCAACAGCAGCAGCAACCATACAGCAGTCAGAAGACTCTCTCCGCGAGTCCGCAGCTTTGGCACAGATCACCCAACTCAACATAAGAAACAGCATCAGCCAAGCATCTGCGGCCAATTTCGACTTCTCATTGCGCTAGTCTCTGCGTGTCTGGCAGTGGTGCCGCTCGAAGAAGTTCCAATCCCAGAATCTTCAGAAAACTGACCTTGCAATTTCTTTGCTCCCTCCCCACGCACCACCACTTGCTCCGTTCGTTCATCGCACTCGTCCACGCACATCCGCCATCGACTCGACTCAGATTCAACATGGGTATCACTCGTGACTCGCGACACAAGCGATCGGCTTCCGGTGCTCGCCGCGCCTACTACCGCAAGAAGCGCGCCTTCGAGCTCGGTCGCCAGGCTGCCAACACCCGTATTGGCGCCAAGCGCATCCACACCGTCCGCGTTCGCGGCGGCAACCTCAAGCACCGTGCCCTCCGTCTCGAGTCGGGCAACTTCGCCTGGGGCTCGGAGCACATCACTGCCAAGACCCGTGTCCTTGGTGTCGTCTACAACGCCTCGAACAACGAGCTGGTCCGCACCAACACCCTCGTCAAGGGCTGCATCGTCCAGGTCGACGCCACCCCCTTCCGTCAGGCTTACGAGAAGCACTACGGCCAGCCCGTGACCACTAAGCGCCGCGCCGCCGGCCAGGGTGCCGCCGAGGCCAACGTTGACGAGACCAAGCTCTCCAACTCGGTCACCCGCAAGCTCGAGAACCGCCGCAAGGAGTCCAAGCTCGACAGCCTTGTTGAGCAGCAGTTCGGCGCCGGTCGTCTCTACGCCGCCATCTCGTCGCGCCCCGGCCAGTCCGGTCGCTGCGACGGCTACATCCTTGAAGGCAAGGAGCTCGAGTTCTACGTCCGCCGTCTCAAGGCCTCCAAGGGCTCCAAGAACTAAGCGCTTTTTGAGCGTTTAGGTCCCGGATTCCCTTACTCCCTCTTTCATCCTTCACGTCGCGCGTCATTCGTTCCATCCTTCGACCTATCCTCCTCTCCCACTCTGTATACTGATTCTTCTTCTGGGTCTTCAAGGAGGCGACGTGTAGTGCATTTCCAGTGGCTCATTCACCGTGGTTTTGCCTTGGGCACGGTTGTAGAGTTGCGCACATCTCCATCCTCACACCACCAAAACCCCCCAAAAATTCTTCCAAGGCTTGAATGCAAAGCATGCTCAACATCTTTTTTGGCTTCGTGGTGTGGATTGTGAGAGACCTCAAATTTGCACGTGCAGAGCCGAGCCTTTGTTCGAAGGACAGATGGGGGCGACTGAAGTTTCATTCAATGTGCGCGAGTGCGATGCTGGGGGTCTAGTCGTCACGGATGCTTTCGAACTGAGCCTTTGCAGCGAGCATGGCCTGTTTCTCGGCCTCGAGGTTCTTGAGCTTCTCAGCCGTCGAGTCCTTGACTTCCTGCGGCATACGCGACCACTCCTGCGGCTTGTTCATGGGGGCCGAGATCTTGTCGATGCCAACCGCGTTGAGCTGGAGCTTCTTGTCAAGCTTGGCCAGCTCCTGGTCGATGTTGACCAGGCCGCGGATGAGGAGGTGCGCATTGAGACGCGACGAGATCGACGAAACCGCACATCCCTTGGGCACATCGGCGGCGCTCGAAACAACCTTGACGCCCGTGCAGCCCTTGACGAGCGTAGCAACGACGTCCGACGACGACGTGAGGATCTGCTGGAATTCGGCATCGCTGGTCTCGAGGAACACCTGCACGTCCTTGAGCAGGTTGTAGTCCGTGCACATGCCGCGGACGGCGCGCACGGCGGCAAACACCTCCTCGAACGCGGCCTCGGCACGAGCATCGTCCCGACTGGCCATGTAGACGGGGTAGCGCGTCAGAGCGATGCTCTCGGCCTTCTCGGCCGCGCGGCGCGGCAACCTCTGCCACAGCTCCTCGGTGACAAAAGGCATGAAGGGATGCAGCAGCTTGAGGCCTTCGTCGAGACACGTGTAGAGCGTCTGCTGCGCACTGGCGCGCGCCTTGGCGTCCGCCGCCGCCGGATCGGTGATGGGCTTGATCGCCTCAATGTACACATCGCACAGCTCGTACAGCCAGAAGTTGTAAACCGCCGAGGTGGCGGCCATGAAGTTGCGCTCCTTGAGGCACTCGTTGATCGTCTTGCTCGCCGTGTTGAGCTTATGCAGGATCCACTTTTCAACGAGCGACTCGTCGCCGCTCGGCTGCTCGTCCGCCGCGGGCTGGAACGACGCAATGGGCTCGAGCTTGAGCAGCGCAAACTTGGTGGCGTTCCACAGCTTGTTGCAGAACTTGCGGTAGCCCTCGACACGCAGGATGTCGAGGTTGATGTCGCGGCCTGCGCTGGTGTAGGCGCACAGCGCGAAGCGCAGCGCATCGGTACCGCACTGCGGGATGCCCTTGGGGAAGTCCTTCTTCTGACCCTGGGCCGCCTTGGCGATCTCCTTGTCGTCCAGGTTGCCCTCCTTGAGCTTGGTGTGCAGGCCGTCGAGGTCGATGCCCTCGATGACGTCGATGGGGTCGATGACATTGCCGAGCGACTTGGACATTTTGCGTCCGTGGGCGTCGCGCACCATGGCGTGGCAGAAGACCTCCTTGAAGGGCAGCTGGCCGGTGAGGTAGACGCCTAGCATGCACATCCTGGCGACCCAGAAGAAGAGGATGTCCCAGCCGGTCTCGAGCAGCGAGGACGGGTAGAAGTGCTTGATGTCGTCCGTCTTTTCGGGCCAGCCCATGATGGAGAAGGGCCAGAGGCCGGAGCTGAACCACGTGTCGAGCACGTCCTCGTCCTGCTCGAGCGTGTAGCTCTTGCCGCCGGCGAGCTTGTCGGCGCGCTCCTGCGCCTGCTCGAGCGACCTGCCGACGACCCAGAACTTGTCGTCGCTGCGGTCCTGCGCCTCGCCCTCGATGTTGACAAAGTAGACGGGGCAGCGATGGCCCCACCAGAGCTGACGCGAGATGCACCAGTCCTGGATGTTCTCCATCCATCGGAAGAACTCCTTCTCGGAGACGTTGGGAGTGATGGACATCTCGCCGGCGCGGACGCGCTCGATGACCTTGGCGGCGAGAGGCTGGCAGTTGACCCACCACTGAGGCTTCATGATGGGCTCGATGACGTCTCCGGAACGCGAGCAGATGGGCACGGTCATGGGGTTGTCCTTGGTCTCGACGTAGCTGCCGATCTCCTTGAGCTTGTCGATGACGGCACGACGCGCCGAGAAGCGCTTCATGCCGGCAAAGTCGCCGCAGTTTTCGTTGAGGGTACCGTCGTCGTTGAGGATGTTGACGAACTCGAGGTTGTGGCGCTTGCCGACCTCGTAATCGTTGGGGTCGTGCGCCGGGGTGATCTTGACGGCACCGGTTCCGAACTCCATGTCGACGATGATGGCGTCGGCGACGATGGGGATCTTGCGACCGGGGACGAAGGGGTGGACGACGTTCTTGCCATGGAGGTGCTTGTATCTCGGGTCATCGGGGTGGACGGCGACGGCGGTATCGCCGAGCATGGTCTCGGGACGCGTGGTGGCGACGACGATCTTTTCGTCGGAGCCCTCGATCTGGTAGGAGAAGCTGACGATGACACCAAACTCGATGCGCTCGTTGGCGGGGTAACCGGGGACGTTCATAAGGGTGCGGCCGTTGAGCTGCTTCTGGTCGACCTCGAGGTTGGAGAGGGTGGTGTGGAGCTTGCAGCACCAGTTGACGAGGCGGTTGGCGCGGTAGATGATGCCGTCCTCGTGGAGCTTGCAGAAGGCCTCGGTGACGGCCTTGGAGCGGGGCTCATCCATGGTGAAGGCCTCTCTGGAGAAGTCGTAGGAGGCGCCGAGACGGCGCATCTGGTTGGAGATGCGCGACTGATAGTCGTCCTTCCACTCAAAGACCTTTTCGAGGAACTTTTCGCGACCGTAGTCGTAGCGCGACTTGCCTTCGGTCTTGGCGAGGCGCTTTTCGACGACGCTCTGGGTGGCGATACCGGCGTGGTCGTAGCCGGGGTTGAAGAGCGTCCGGTAGCCGTTCATTCGGTACCATCGGATGAGGGTGTCCTGGATGGAGATGGTGAGGGCGTGGCCGATGTGGAGGGAGCCGGTGACGTTCGGGGGCGGGGCGGGGACGATGAAGGTCTTTTCAGGGTTGTGCGGGTCGGAGTCGGTTGGCTCTGCAGGCTTAAAGTGGTTGCTCTTCTCCCACCATTGGTACCAGCTCTGCTCTACGTGGAGCGGGTTGTATCCGTTCTCCATGGGCTGGGAGAGGTCCTTCTTCTCGCCGGGGACGGTGTTGTTGACCCACTCGGGCTCCTGCTTGACCTCCTTCTTGGGCTTCTCCTTCTTCTTTTCGGCGCCGGAGCCTGCGGGGTTCTGGGGAGCCTTTTCGCTCTTGAGAGCATCCTTGGCGGCCTGCTTTGCGAGCTTCTCTGCGAGCTTTGCCTGCTTCTTGAGGGCGCTCTTGGTCATCGGCTGACCGTCGGGGCCGAGGGGAGCATCGGCAGGGGCAGCATCAGCGGCTGGTGCCGACGCAGGCTGCTGTGGCTTTTCGGGCGCGGCGCCCGTGGGAGCGGACGAAGACATGATGCGACCGAGTTGAAACGCCTGTGAATTGAAATTGGAGCCGACTCGACCGGTTGGTGGGAGTGTGCGGGCAGCGATCGGAGCTGCTCCGTTGCAGCGAGAGAGAGCGACGCTTTGTCGAGTTGCGTGGACGAGAGTCGAAAGAAAGCGCGCACGCGGCAGCATACAAAGTTGACTACGAGCGAGCCTTTTTGTACGGTGCTGGTGCGGTTTTTGCTGTTGACTCGACCGACGCTGCGGTGATCAGGTGTTCTAGTCCGATTTCCTAGTAAGGAGTGGGGAGAGAAATGGCAATGGTGACTCGGGATGTGATGGGAGCCGAGGTGCCTTGCCAAAGTTGCTGGAATGATGCGCCGTGCCAATTTTGGCTTCTGACTCGTGGGGAATTTTTTGCGCAGCACAGCGCAGGGCAGGGCCAAAGCGCAGTCACGTGCCAGTCTCGATAGGTCGTTCTCTTTTTGAGGCCACATTTTCTACCTCGGATTTTCCGCTTTTCTTTTTTTCTGGCGTTTTTCTCACGGTCGCCCGAGCGGCGGGGGGCCGACGAAAAGGTAAATCGTCGGATCACACGCGACATCGCCCCCGCCTTCTGACAGCTGTCGTCTACAGCGGGGATCTGGGCCCGAGCGCGCGCGCTTCATGTCGGCTCCAACACGGGCCCAAAGCCTAAAGCCAACTCAGTCGATCCCGCCTTCAAGTCAAACTCAGACCGAGCCTCCCGTCTTCTGAAAGCGACGTCGACTTGCCTTTCTTGGGGGAATAAAGCGGGCCTCATCCGAGCAAGCTTCCTCTCCCCCTGACCACCACCGACACCACCAAGAGCACCCCTTTTCCCTCGCTTACCTCGTCTGGTATCGCAATCATGAAGAGTCTTCCCGCCGAACTGCACGCCAAGCCGGCTGCACCCGCGACGCTGTTTCAGTACATCTTCCAGAACATCTTCCCTGTGATCATGCTGGTGCGCCTGTACGTGTCTGGTCTGCCCGGTGCCATCGTGGAGCAGCTGCGCAACCCGAACCCCATCAACCTCATCAATCCGCTCCACTGGAAGCAGCTCGCCTTCAATCACGGCTTCAGCTCCATCCTCGCCGTAGCCGATGAGATGTACAAGGACATGAAGACACCGCTGCTCCAAGGCGCCTACGGTCGCGTCCTCGAAGTCGGCGCAGGGGCCGGAAACTCGGTGGGCTACTATGATCAGTCCAAGATCGAGCGTCTCTTCTGCCTCGAGCCTTGCGCTCCTCTGCGTGAGAAGCTCATCGCCAGGCTTGAGCGTGTCGGTCTTGCCAAGAAGACCACCGTGATCCCCGTCGGTCTCGACGCACAGAGCCGCCATGCGCTCCTGGAGGCTGGCATCGAACCCGAATCACTCGACACCATCGTCCTCTTTCAGGTCCTCTGCAGCGTGCCCAACCCCAAGGCCCATCTCGAGTTCCTCCAGAGCCTCCTCAAGCCCGGCGGCCAGGTCATCGTGTTCGAACACGTCGGTAGCAAGCACGGCTTCACCCGCACCATCCAGAACATCTGGAACCCCATCTGGTCCTTCAATTTTGGCGGCTGCGACATCAACAGGGACAGCGGCGACTGGCTCCGCGACATTGGCGGCTGGAAGCAGATCGACCTCAAGCGTCCCGTCCACGAAGTAAGTCTGCCCGCTCGTGTATAAGCTGCTCATGCGCCCACACTGACCCCTCTTGTCTTGCGCTGTGACTGCAGACCACTGCCGAGTTTCTGCCCCACGACATTGGCCGTCTCGTCAAAGCCTGACCCTCTCATCCGAGCTTTGTTGCCCGACCCGCTCCTTCCGTAGCTTCGTAAGCAGCTCCGCACAGCCTCGCTTTTGTTTGTTTCGAATCAAGTCGATGAGAAAATCAAGTGCCACGTTTTACAAGATCAATGCCGGCCTGGCGTGCAAAGGGCGCGGGATGCGGAGAAACAATACTGATACACGTTCGTTCCAAGAAACCAAAGAAAGGGGGAGTGGAAGAGGATAGTAGGGATCATCTTTACTGGCGGTTGTTGAGCATCTGGGAGAAGTTTTCCCACGCATACCACATGCCTGCCAGATTGTTACCCTGTGCAGCTGGGTCGAGAGCCTCTTTGCCCTCTGCCTCGGCGGCAGCTGCAGCTGCTGCGGCTACGGCGTTGAGCGCACTTTCGCTCGGCATGGCGTCGGCCAGACCGTTTTCGGCCTTGTCCGTGCCGGCCTTGGCTTGCTGCTGCTCGTACGTGCGCGCCAGCGAGTTCTGCACATACGTGCGGTAAGACGCCGACGAGGCCTGGTCGCCGCGGCCCGGGTTTTGGTGGTTGTAGTGCTGCGAGAACGACATGGGTCGATCCGGCATCTCGGTCCCCAGCTCGCGTCCGCCAAGCAGCTCGTACAGGTTGTACGCTTCCGACGACTCGCCGACCTCGCCACCCTCGACACCCGACGTTCCAGCACCGGCGTCTGTCGCCTCTTGTGCCTGCGAATGCGCCTCGGCGCCCGTAGGCAGCCCGCTCGCGCCGCCATTGTCGGCCTCGCCCTGCTGCTGCTCGGAAGCCCAGGCGCTGCCGTTGTGCTGGTCGCTGTGGTTCAGAATGGCCTGTCCAAAGCCCACCGGATATGCGACGGGCACGCCCACCAACGGCCGGTCGAGCAGCGCCTCGTTCCAGTACGAGTTGCCCGTTTGCGGACCCAAGTTGTGCGGGTCGGTGGGAAGTCCCACGAAGGGAAGCAAAAACGCAGGGATTCGATCCGGTCCGCCATCCACGTCCGTGCGAGCGCTGTCGTCGTTACCGTCCTTGGCTTCCGACTCGCCTAGCGACGGATCGATCGCTCCCATGATGCCCGACGCGCGTGCACCATCGGCGCTCTTGGCATCGACGATGCTTTCGCCATTGGCACCCGTGCCCGCCGCAGCTGCCGAGCCGTCCGCCTTGCTCGTTGCCAGGCTCGCAATATCGCCTCCGATGCCATGCAGCATCTGCTTGAGCGTGGAGCTGTACCTGCCCGCCTGCTCGGCGACGTTGGTGAGTCGGAGCATGCTCGAGAGCTCGTCGAGCAGGTGCAGCGCCTTCTCAATGTGCGGGCGGTGCACCTGCGAGCTCGGGTCGAGCTTGCAGTGGATGGCGAGGATGAGGCCGGCGTTGAAGGCAAAGTACGCGCACTGGTTGTACATGCTGTTGGCGGGCTTGACGGCAAGGACGTCTTCGACCGTGCTGATTAGCGCCTCGGCCGACTGCAGACACACCTCGAGCGACTTCTGCACCGACTCGGGCGGCTTCCAAGCACCTTGCTCGTCGATGTACGGGCGGTGCAGCGTAATCATGCACTGGTTGTAGATGAACTCGAGGCTGTATGCCTGCTGGTAGTCCTGCAGCTCCTCGGTGATCTTGGGATCGTACACGCCCTTGTCAAACGACTGCGCAGCCACCTGCGCTAAAAGCTCGTCGCTCGGACGAACCGAGCCCTTGGAGCGTCGCTCAAAGTGCTGCTTGAGCTTGTCAGGCAGATTCTCGCGCCACTTTGCGTATTCGTCGTTGAGGTTCGGGTCCGGAGGCGACGAGATGCCAAAGCGGAAGAGCTGCTGGCTCTGTCGCAGGAAGATGTGGTAGATGCGGAATCGCGACCAGTGGTAGTCGAAGTTGGCCTGGCTCGGCACGCGAGGCACCAAGGCGGTAGCGCCGGGTGGCAGGATGATGCGGCTCGGGTCCGGATCAGCCAGGCCGGCTCGCTCGTACATGGCGTAGAGGGCGTCATAGTCGTCGGGATACCGGGTGTCGAAGCCCTCGTGTGTGAGACAGGGAGGCTGACCGATACGATGGGCGTGAGCGACTTCGTAAAAGACAATGTTCCACCACAGGTTCCTGCGTGCCTGGGCCTCCTCGATGCGCATGCCGGACCAGTGCTCGGGGTCCCGATGCAGACCAGCAGCATGGGCGAGTCGGGTGGTGAGCGCAAAGCAGGTGCCGGCGAATTGCAAGTTGAGCTCGTTGAGGTGCCAGATACCACGAAGCAGCGATGCCTTGATGAGATCGATGGGCGCCTGGAACGCACTGGACCAGGCCGAGGGGCAGGCGATCTGGAGCGCGTCGATGCAGTGGCCAGCGACGCTGAGGAGGGTGCGCTCGTCGGAGCACTGGACGCCCGGGATGGGGTCAAAGTTGCGCATGTTGTGACCTTCGTGTTCGGGCGAGTTTCTCTTGACCTGGAGCGTGAGGGCGAGGAGCACGAGGAGCAGAGGCACGAGGGGCGGATCGGCGGGCATGGTGGTGGGCTTGGAGTGCCACCATCGCAGGAAGCTCTGGATGCGCGCGATGTTGATGTCGATGACGACGACGTTGACAAAGGGCTCCACCTGCGTCTTGAAGGTGTAGAGGAGCGCCGAGATCTCGTCTGCGGTGGGGAGGGTGATGGCGCTCTCGAAGAGGACGCCGGCAATGGCGGCGGCGCGAGCGGCGTTGACACGCGTGTTGAAGTCGCGCGAGCGGTCCTTGCCGACCAGCTCGAGCTTCTCGACCTGTTCGCGGCGGGTCTGCACCATGACGGCTTGGCGGCGGTCGTCGAGACGCGGGAAGTCGGCGCGCTTGAAGACGCGGCCGTTGGTGCTGCCAAAGGCGTCTTCGGGCTCCTTGCGCTTGCGCACCATGGGCGAGCCTATTGACGAGTCGCCGGCAAAGTCCTCTTCGTCCGAGCCGGGGCGCTTGCGGTCGTCGACGTAGTGGCAGGGGTCGTCGGTGGGGTTTTCGCGACAGTTGGTGCAGATGGGCTTGATGCGATCGCACTTCTGCTTCTTCTCTCTGCACTGGAGGCAGCTGGTGATCTTGCGGAAGCGCGTGATCTTGGTGGCCGATTTGGAGCGCGGCTTGGGCTTGGCGCGCTCCTTCTTGGGCTTGGGCGTGCCGGTGATGCTCATGGAGGCATCGGCGTCTTGCTTGACGGGCGAGCCGGCGTCGGTGATCATGGAGGTGTCGGCGTCGTCAGCATGGTGCATGGATCTGTGTGCATCGGCGCCGCTGGCGTGGGCATGCGGCCTGGAGGAGTCTGCGATGGCACCGGACGGATCGATGTCGGATTGAGCGTGTGCGCCGGCCGAGGTGGCAGTGTCAGGCGCTTGACTTGGCTGCGCATGTTGTGGCTGGGCGTGTGGGGGTGTGCCGACGTCCATGGCAGTGTCGGCTTGCTCTTGTGCGGCGCGCTGCTCCTCTTCCTGTCGCCTTTCTTGCTCGGCATGCTGTTTGGAAGCGTTGACGGCGGCGGCAATGACGGCGTCCACGTCACCGAGAGAGCTGGAGGAGAGGTGGTCGGATGTAGGAGCGCCCGAGATGGGGAGGAGGACGTTGTTGGAAGCATCGACGGCGTGTGCGTTGGCAGCCAGAGCCTCTGCGTGGCGGCGTGCTTCGAGCTGTGCTTGTTGCTGCTGGAGGAGTTGCTGCTGACGCTGCTCCTGTTCCTTTTGCTGCTGCTGCTCGAGTTCCTCGTCGAGCTGGGCGGCGGTGGCCAGCTCCTGGAGGGGCTGGTCGGGATGCTGGTGGTCGGACATGCTGAAGGGGGGGCCTGGGCGCCGATGCGACGCGACACGAGGATGTCGGCCAGGTGAGGAGCGCCGAGGCAAGCAGCTAGAGAGGAGAAGCCAGGAGCGGATGAGTGCCTAGGCTGCGCCGTGCTTGTATGCACAAAGGGTGCGCAGTGGCAGGGTCAGGAAGGATGCTTGGACCGAGTGGGGTAACGAGAAGGAGTCCGGGGTTACCGTCCGATAGAAACGGGATGGCGAGGCGGATGGAATTCAGCGCCGACTCGACTGGACTGCAGCCGGAATTGGATGCCTGGATACGCGTAGCCGCGTCGAATCAAGCAGAACGCGACTGGCAAAGATGCTGCTGCTGCGCTTGACTGGCCCCTTCTACTCGGCTCCACAGCGCGTTCTCGCAAGTTTGGCGTGGACCTAGACAGAGGCGATGGGTGTTCAAAGGCGGGTGCCAACAACGACTGCGCCCGTGACGCGGTAGAGGAGCAGTGTTGCAAAGGAGCGGCGAGGCGGCGTCGGGAGCGGTTCAGGGTGCAATTCGTAGTGGAGAGGGTGAAGGGGTGAGATTGAGTCGGGCGAAAGAAAATGCCATCCATCCGTATTTGGCTCCAAGCTCGATCACCGGCCGAATGAAGGATCGAATTATTCACTGTCAGCGTGTCAGATCTTTGCCGCTCCGGCCCTGAGGAAGAGGCTCTCTCGAACGCCGAATTCCGACGCTTGCGTCAATCGATGTCAGGCCGAACGGAAGAGCCAAACTCAAGCTAGGCGCCGAGTCGGTCACGGCTGCTTACGCTTCTTGGCTAAGAGGAACGCGTCCAGCTGAGCGCACGCTGCACGCTGCACGCTGCATAAAGCCAGCCAGCCAGGCACGCACTCCAACGGCAAGCGGACCACGAGTGCCGGCTTTGCAGCGTCGTACTCGAGAAGCACACACCCACTCACACCTCGCGGCAGTCGGCTTTGACAAAAAGTCAGCAGCGCCTGGGTGTCACTTTGTCTCTTGCACCTTCCAGCCGAGCTTCGAACCTTTCGTCGATTCACTTCACGATCCATCTCGTGAGCTTGAGCTTCCCCACTCACACTCCGGGCCCACACAGCATCCTGAGCTTCAGCATCACCATCTTCGGACATACCCTATATCATCCCCACCGTCATCTCCGCCACCTCGAGGAACCACCACCTCTTCCAACGTCGGCGTCCTTGCTGAGCATTCAAAGCCGCTGAGCAACACCTGGGTCCCCACTCGCTTCTTCTCAACTTCACGATGGGCGTCGAATCGGTGCCCCTCGAGCACTCGCCTGCAGCGGCTTCTGCCCTCAACGACTACTTCCAGGCCGTGTCCAGTCTCGCCTCCAAGTACTTTGACAAGATCCCCGGAAGTGCCATCGTGGCACGATACGTGGCTAGCAGCTACCAGAACGACCCCATCCGCTCCCTCCTCGAGCTCTTCCTCGTCCTCTTCGCCCTCAGGACCGTGCTTCAGAGCAGAACACGCGGAGGCGCCAGCGGAAGGAACTTCGTCAACCTCTCGGGCAAGGAGATCGATGACCTCGTCGCAGAGTTCAAGCCCGAGCCCCTCTGCGCGCCACTCACGCCCGCCGAGTCGCGAGAGCTCGCCTCCATCCCCACCATCGTCGGCGGCGCAAGCAGCAAACCCAAGATCAGCATCGCTTCCCACAACGCAGGAAAGCCCACCCAGGTCGTCAACCTCGCCAGCTACAACTTCACCAACCTCGCCGGCCACGATGCCGTAAAGGAAAAGGCCATCGAAACGCTCCGAAACTACGGCGTCGGAAGCTGCTCACCCCCCGGCTTCTACGGCACCATCGACGTCCACATGCAGCTCGAGTCCGACATTGCTCGATTCCTCGGCACCCAAAACTGCATCATCTACAGTCAGGGCTTCAGCACCATCTCCTCCGTCATCCCCGCCTTCTCCAAGCGAGGCGACATCATCGTCGCAGACCGCGGCGTCAACTACGCCATCCAGAAGGGCATCCAGATCTCGCGCTCCACCGTCTACTGGTACGATCACAACGACATCGACTCGCTCCAGGCCGTCCTCGAGCAGGTCAAGCGCGACACAAAGCGCAGAAACGGCCCGCTCACCCGTCGCTTCATCGTCACAGAGGGCGTCTTTGAGGCCGACGGCGCGCTCTCCGACCTGCCCAAGATCCAGGAACTCAAGAAGCGCCACAAGTTCCGCCTCATCCTCGACGAGAGCATCAGCTTCGGCACCGTCGGCGCAACCGGCCGTGGCCTCACCGAGCTCTACAACATCCCCGCCTCCGACGTCGAGATCCTCGTCGGTTCGATGGCCAACACGCTCGGTGCCGCCGGCGGCTTCTGCGCTGGCTCCGACGAGGTCGTCTACCACCAGCGCATCAACGGAACCTCGTTTGTCTTTTCCGCCGCCCTCCCCGCCATGCTCGCCGTCGCTGCCAGCACCGCCATCTCCTACATGGTCTCGCAACCTTCGATCCTCTCTACGCTCCACGAAAACGTCAAGACGCTTCGCTCCGTTCTCGACCACGTCGAATCGCTCCGCATCTCGAGCGATCCGCGCAGTCCGCTCGTGCACCTCCAGATCCGCAGCAAGACCGATCGCCATCCCGACACCCCAGCGGACAAGTTTGACAAGGGCAAGAACAGTCTGGCCGTCGGCGATGTCAGCCTCACGCTCGCCAACAGTAACGACGAGAAGCGCATCGCAGCGGCCGGCCCCGCCGAGCACGATCTCACCGTCGACGAGCAGATGCGTCTGCTCCAGGCCATCGTCGACGATGCGCTGGAGCATGGCATCTTCATCACGCGCATGAAGAGGCTCCCCAGCATCAACCCAAAGGTGCTCGAAGTCGCGCCCGAGTCCAGACCCAACATCCGCATCGCCGTCAGCGCCGCCTTCACGAAGAAGGAGATGGACAAGGCCGCTAATGTCATCAAGGCAAGCGCCATCAAGGTGCTCGGCAAGAGACGCTAGGCATCGCTCCCCGATACCGACACTACTTTCGCGCATTCACCTCTTAATCGATACTTTGAGCACGTCACGTCCGGCTTTGAACCTGGCCGTGAATACAGGGTGACGTTATGCGGAGCGACACGGAGGAGAAGGGAGTGCGGGGTGCGACACAGATGAAGCAGGTGCGTGCCATACACGCAAGCAAATGCGACGAGATGAAATCGGAACGGAACGTGCACATTTAGCCCGACGACGAGTTCTTGACGGTCGCGAGGTCGATCCAAGGTGTCGAGCCACCAAAGACCTTGTGGATGGTGATCTTGGCAGCGGCCGCATCCGACAGAATCGTCTCGAGCTCTGTATCTCTCCCGCTGGTGTTTCCACCTGGACCGGAAGAGCCGTGCTCGGCAAATCTGGTGAGCTTGGGGTCGAAATTGGGCGTGGCTTGAGACCAGATCCTAAATCCGGCGTCTGCCACGATGTTGGACATGAATGTGTTGAGGTATACGGCGTGGCTGTAGGCGTTCCAAGGTCTGCCGAGATGGCAACGTCCGACCATACTCTTGGCTTTGGAGGCGTCGGGTGATTGTGCGATGATCGAGTTGCTGATGTAGACACCGACGAGTGGATCGGTGGGATCGCCACGCCATGCAGTGATCCCTCCGCCACACGCGCGAGAGAGAAGCTTGCACTTTTCAAACCACGCTTTGCCATACCCGTACAGCTGGTCCGTCATACCCTTGACGATCGACTTGAAGAAAAACGCCTGCGAATCACGACCGACAAAGATCGTATCTTGGTAGCTCGAAAACCTGCAACCCCGAACATCAGTTTCGATACAAGGGTCAAGGAGAGGAAGGGAGGGGGGGACTTACCCGCAGCCGTAGAAGGAGGCATTGGAACTCTGCACACACAACGCTGCAGCAGGTCCGAGCTGATACTCGGTGACTTCTTGACCGTTGAGGAACTGACGCTGCGCAAAGTCGATGTTGTACGCCTTGAAGTTACTATTGCCGATCGCACCGCCGTTGCCGACACCCAGCACTGTGGCTTCGCAGTTGTGCAGCACGCTCGTCACATCACTTTGGTTGACGTACGACGACTGCCACACCTCCACTCGATTCGAGTTGGCACTCGAGATGTCGGGCGTCACTCCCTATTCTCTCACAAAATCTTTAATATCAGAAGGCCTGTACAAAGCTAGAAGAGCTTGGCTACTTACCAGCATTACGGTGGGACTGACCCGAGTCACCACGACCTTTTCATGGTACTGCCCTTGGTCGATCAGTACCGTACCGGTGTTACCATTATCGGGACTACCAAACCCCCTCCGCGTCAGTTAGATGTCACGACCCGTTGACGGCTGTCGCCACGCGTATCTGCGCCAGACTCACAGAGCACTCAGAGCCGCGCTGATGGTCCTGAATCTGGCTGCTGGATGGGTCTTGCTCACGAAAATCGTGCCGCTGGGACAACCGGCAAGAGGATTGCCGCTGCCGGTCTTGGGTGCTTGGCACTGAGCGAAGTGTGCGGTGCGACGAGTGCCGAGCTTTGTCGAGTAGAACACTGGCGAAGCCTCGCACACCGCTGCAAGCGTGGCCAACACAAGGCAGACACCTGCCGAGAGGGAAGATCGTAGCATTTCCGGAACTGTAGAGAAGAAAGATAAGGGTTAGAGGGGAGGGAAGGGGGAGGATGGTGGAAGGGGGGGAGGGTGCTCTCGGGGGGATGAGGTGAGGGAACAAGATGCCGACCGGTGCTTAGCTGAGAAGCTTTATACGGGATGGGCGGCGCATCTGACAGGCTACTGGATGTTTTCACCATTTCTCGGGAACCTGTCAACAGGCGCTATGGTTAGACTTGATGAAGTGGGATGAAAGAGGGTTCGACGCGGATGCGCCGCTCATATGAAGTTGGGTGGCGTTACGAAAAAGGCCCGAGCCCACGCGCTCGCACGCCTGCCGCCCACGGTGTGCTTTGAGCGCAGTCTCGACGCACAGTAGTGAACTCGCGGCACGCCGCGGTGTGGATCCGTGCCCACACACATGTCGGCTCCGCCCTGTATCCAGTGGAGAGCTGCAGGAAGCCGACCGATGCAAGTCTTGCAAGCCTTGTGGGATAGGAGGCACAATCGTATTGAATAGCGGCTAAAATAGGCTACAAGCACCGCATCGCAAATCCCACACATCGGCCACAATGGGGTGGGGCTAGAGGCATCAAGATCACGCCAGAGCTATAATGGCACCGTACTAGATGGCATTCAGCCCTCAAAATCAGTACGGCCTCGTTCGGCTGCATCGCGCACCGAGGAGGGGATGTCGTTGTCGCCGGAAAGAAGGTCGAGCATCAGGCCGTCCGCCTGACCCTTGGGGAGCTGGGCAACCTCGAGGAGCGTCGCTGCCACATCCTCTCGCGGGATCTGTGCCAGGTAGACCAGCAACGAGAAAGAGAATAAGAGGTCAGCTCGTCAGTCTGTCGTCCGAAGGTATCAAGCTGTGCGGAACAAGCTGTGCGTGACCCAAATCTGGCGGTGCACTGTTTGACTTACAGAGTGAACGAGGCTCTGGTGGATGCCGAGAGCGACTTTGCCGGTGCCAGGCTCGTCGAGGAGTCCACCAGGACGGAGGACAAACCAGGGAAAAGAGGTTCGGCCCGACAAGTTCTTGTCGGCAGCGTCTGTAAGATGCGGTATTCAGTAGAGAGAAGAGTTGGATCAGCAGCAGTACTATTTTGCTGCCCTAGTTGCATTGAGCCACATACACTTAGCCTGAGTCGATCGCAACAGCAATGATCACGAATCGATACAATTGGCGCAAGAGAAGTGGTTGGAGCAGGTCTTGCGGTCAGCGAGCTGGGTTAGGAGACGCTTTCAATCTCATCCTCATCTGACTCACATCCATGTAGGCGCCGATGGCGTTGCGGGTCTTTTCTGAGCGTTCGAGGCTGAGGAAAGGGCGTGTGTTCGAGGTAGAGACACAATGCGTCAGTTGAGCAGATCCACCGAGTGTCAGACCGCACATACACAGCAGCATGATACTCACTCTGGCTTCTGGTACCACGAAGGAGGCGGCTTGTTCTTGTCGCGCACATCTACCGCCGAAACGAGGAGGAAGCGGCGGAACTGCTCCGACTTGGCGATGCCGCTCTGCTCGATAGCGTCAAACACCTTGATGGCGCCCTGCTCGTCCACAGCTTTTGTACGTTCTGGTCCGCCTTTCCCACCGGCTCCGGCAGCGAAGAGGATGACGCTGGGCGCGTATTTCGTGAAGAGGGACGCAATGTCGGCGACCGACGACTGCTCGAGCGATGCAACCACTGGCTCGACCGAGCCAGACGAGCCCTTGGGCAAGTCATCGGCGTGCTCGGGCTGGCGGATCATGCTGAAGATCTTGTGTCCGCGCGCCGCCGCCTGGCGCGTGAACGAGAGCGCCACCTTGCCGTGGCCTCCGACGATGAAGATCGAGAGCGGATTGCTGGTCATGTTGCAGATTGATTGGATGGAAGGAGAGATGGATGTTGTGCGGCAAACCAGCACAGTAGCTTGGTCAGACGATTCTCTTTACGCTTGGACACGAAGACTGTGGCCGAGCATGACGTTCTCGCCGTTGCGCATTCCGTGCTTGCCATGTGTAGTGCGGGGGGAGCGGACACAAGCTCCTTTGGTCCGCAACCTCCACATGCAGGGCCCCGAGAAAGTCGCCGGCAGCGCTGAATGAACGCCCGATTGTGTTGGTCTCCCTCTCACCGATTCCGATTCTGTGGAAGCTTTGAGCGCGTGCCTGCGTGGGGGCGGGCGCATGGGCCTAGATTGAGAAGCTCGCCCAGTTGGCTCAGCCTCATCTTCCCTTAGTCACGCCATGCACAGTCGCGCCCCTTCCACTCTACGTTCACACGACAACGGCCTTGGCTGCCCGCCTTTCGAGCGACGGCATCGTATGCGATTCACCGTCTGAAATTCAAGGTGGGCACACTCCACTCGCCAGACCGAGAGGCTCAAGAGGACTCGCAGAATCCGAATCTGCCTCGCATTCACCGACGCCAACCAGCTAGGATCAGCAGAGCTGGCGTCTGGGCGAAGCCAAACTCCCAGCGACAGCATCTGCATTCCGCTTGAGCCGCTCGCTGCTGCAGTCATCATGGCGTCCACGTCGCAGTCAGCCGCACCCGAGCCGTCTCCAAAGGCGGCCAAAACAGCGCCAAGGTCGGTCGCTGCTCCAAAGACCAAGACCTCGCTATCTGCCACCCGGGCGGCGAATCCATCCCCAAAGGCGAGTTCTTCAGACTCGCCCCTCCGCAGAGCGCAGGCCTCGGGCACTTCAACGGCTAGCGCTGCAGCGCGCAAGATGCCGACAGCTGCATCGGCACCTCGAACGGACCCGGCGCCGAGCATACAGCTCCAACAGACAGCGACTGCAGATAGCACCAATGCGCAAGCATCGACAAGCACACCGCAATCATACCGAGATGAAAGCACGAGCACTGACGATCAAGCGAGCCTCGTCAGCCGCATCGGTTTCGAGCCACGCTCCACCTCGGGCCTACCAGATCCTTCCATGCGGACCAATGAAGCCATCGTTTGGCTGGACATCGACAACACACTGTACAAGCGCAGCACCAGGATCGCAGAGCTCATGGCCGAGCGAATCCGAGCCTACTTCCACGGCATGGGACTCAGCCAAGAAGAAGCAAGGTCGCTCCATTCCACCTACTACAAGACCTACGGCCTTGCCATCCGTGGTCTCGTCAAGCATCACCAAATAGACCCTCTCGACTACGACCGCAAGTGCGATGCCAGCCTTCCCCTCGAGGACATCTTGCGGCCCGACGCTCAGATCAAGCAGCTACTATCTGACTTGGATCGCACCCGCGTGCGCGTCTTTGCTCTCACCAACGCCTACAAGTATCACGCAGACAGGGTGCTCCGCCTGCTCGACCTCGAGGATCAGGTCGAGGGCATCGTCTACTGCGACTACGCCACGCCCGACTTTGCTTGCAAGCCCGAGCTCGACTACTACCGTGCAGCTCTGCTCGTCGTCGGCGCCTCGCCTAACACCCGCAACTACTTTGTCGACGACAGCTCACTCAACGTCGTGGCCGCCAAGGAACTCGGCTGGCACTCTTGCATCTACTTTCGCGAGGAGGACGATCCTCTGCCACCGCCCGCCGCCGTCAATGGTGCTGACAAGGAGGCTGCATCTTCTTTTGATGCTACCGCCCTCGTGCCTCGAAAGCATACGACAGCTTCCGACGCAACGGCCACGAGCGCCTTCGACGAGGAGGCGATTCGTCGCGAGTTCCAAAAGCTCCCCTCTCACCTGCGGATCCAGCTGCTCGGCATTATCCTCGACGCATGCTTACCCGGCGATATTGCTACCATGTCCAAGACGCTCGAAAAGCATCTGCGTATGACTCGCGATGTCGTCAGCGGGCTTCCCGACACTGTCGCCCTCAAGATCTTCGAAAAGCTTCCGATCCAGGACTTGCTCCGATGTCGTCACGTCTCCAAGAAGTGGCATTCGCTCGCCGCCACACCCGATCTCTGGAGGTCGCACGCTCTAGCGCTCACCGAGGCAGACCCAGTGAAAGTCTCGCCTCCCTCGGAACCGCAAGGCTGGGAGCCGTTGGTCAAGAATCTCTTCTTCCGCGAACGTAACTGGGCGAAAGGCCTGGCTCAGAGCATTCAGACACTCGAGGGACACACCGGCTTCGTCACTGCCATGAAGCTCAAGGGACGCAAGACGCTTGTCTCGGGAAGCTACGACGAGACCATCCGGGTCTGGGACATTTCAACGGGCCTCTGCCGAAAGGTGCTTCGCGCCAAGGCCATTGCATGCCTCGATTTTCTGCTCGACGAAGGCGTGCTGTGCGCTGGGTTGTACGACACCGGTCGCGTGCTCGTCTGGGACATGAAGAGCTGGGAGGTCATCCAGACGCTCTCCGGTCACAACCGCGGCATCCGCAACGTGGCGATCAATGAACAGTACCTGGTCAGCGTGGGTCAGGACAAGGCCATCGTCGTGTGGGACTGGAGGACCGGCGCAAAGCTCGTACGCTTCGGCCAGCAGAGCAATGTCTCGCTCGGTGTGTCGCTGGTGGATCAGGACAAGCTCGTGGCGGTCACGGTGGACGGAATGATCCGCTGCTTCAGCATTCCACGCCGCGAGATGATAGGCCAATTCCAGCTGACCAAGCTCGGCGGAGCTGATCTTGGACTCGGTGCGCGTCTTGGCGACCTCGCAAGTGGATCGTCGATGCTCGAATGGTTCGCAGCGCATGGAAACACGCTCACCGTGGCGTCCAAGAACGTCGTGGTCCATCTCGAGTGGCGCGAGCATGTTGTGCCGGCAAGAAGCACGCAGGCTCCCCTCACGGCCGAAAGCCTGCGTCAGAGCGCGTCGTCGCGGCTCAGCAACGCTGGCAGCACGGCGGGACCAGGGTTGAGCCCGCTTCGAACGCGTCGCGACTCGAGCATGAGCAACGCCAGCAGCGCCGCGGTCTCGCCTCTCGCCAGCGCAGCCGCCAGATCGCGCCGGGACTCGAACACCAGCGTCACGTCGTCGGCCAGTGGCATGGACGCCGCCAGGTCGCCGCGTCGCTCGATCAATGGATCGGCAGCGAATCGGCCATCTGTGCGCACGCCTCGATCGTCGCTGGCTCCGAGCTCGACCAACGACTCGCCTGCCTCGCAAGGACTTTCGACGCCCTCGCGACCCAGGCCGAGCCCTACAACGCGCAGGGTGGGCGGCCCAGCACCGTGGCCGCTTGCGACTGCGACGACGGAATCCGCAGGACGAACATCGGGCACATCGACTCCGGGCAGGATGAGCAAGTCGGTATCGGAAGTGTCTTTGAACTTTCCAACTACGCCCACCAAAGACGCTCCTGAAGCAGACGCCGAAAGCGATGGCATCGCGAACGGCGCTGCGAGCGGGGACGCCTCGCCGGCCGAAGGAAGCGGCGGCAGTGCTACTCGCATTGCGCCCAATCTGTCGCTTCCACCCAAAGTGGTTTCTGTGCTCGAGACGCCGGACGTGGCGGTGGGATGTGTTGATCCTACGAAGCGACGCATCGTGGCATCCACACGATTCAGCAGCCGTGCCGGAGCAGAGCGACGCATCTATGCGAGCAGTTTGCCCTTCGACCATGGCAAGACGGCGACGCAGCTTGAAGCAAAAGCCGGCGCGGACATGAGCGTCAACCAGGACGGAGAGGCGCTCAAGACGGCTTCCACCTCAAATGAGCCGCAGTCGTCTTCGGACGGAGATTCTCCTTCGACGCACGCGGCGGGACTGGTGGCGCCGATCCGCGGTGCCTGGGAAGCGCAGGCGGGAGCATTGGCGACGCCGGCACGCAATCCGATGGCCATGGAGCTGGACCACGAGAGCGTCGTGGTCGGATGCGCCGACGGCCTCATCTATCGCATCCACTTTGTCGGCTCCGAGTACGGGCCCGAGACGCTTCTCGATGCGGCAGCCTCCAGCGATGGCGCCAGCGGGTCCGGAGCAGGCGGCGCTCCTGGTGTGGGTGACGCCACCATCACGGATCTCTTGCAGCTCCGCGACGTGTGGAAAGAGATCATGGTCCCCGCCGGTGAGCCTGACCACCCGGGCCGGCTTCGAGTCGATCGGCTCAAAGCTATGGGACTCAAGTGATTGGCTTCGTTGCCGCATCTTTCGTCACGGCAGAGCAATGTTGTCCCCGATGTAGCGGCAGAGGCGGCAGCATACCCTTAGATCACCGATTGTCGTCACTGCGAAGCAAGATGGAGGTGTACACGTCTTAACACATTGAACCGGCCTGCGCGAGCTCAACTGCGAATTTGAGTTCAGGTGGGGTCCGACTGTGGCTGGTGGGATGCGATCGATTGCGACCGGCAGCCAAAGATAGAACTGGCGCTTTTCTTGATATTTCCCTAAAAAAGCAGGGACAAAAAGGGGGGCGGGAAAAGGAGGTGGCGGGGTGAGGCCGTCTCACATGTGAGCCGGAAGAAATGGACGTGCATGCGAGTTGGAGCGCGGGCCAACTGGAGATGCAGAAGGTGTTTGGCCACGGCCGCGTGAGAGTGAGCGTGGAAACATCCAAGCAAGCCTTTTTTCCTCTTTCGCTGAAAGCCGATCGTCGACTCAGCCAGCGGTGGCTGTCCGCTCTGACGCTGCCTCGCATGCCGCCTCTTGGCTCACCAAGACGCCATCTTGCGGTCCAGTCAACCCATCTGCTGCCGATTTGCTGGTCCATGCGCAACCCGCAATCCCCACCACCTGCGTTCTCAACGCTCCATCGAATCTCCTCAGCGTCAAAGTGGCGTCTGAAGGAAATGGTGGGCTTGACTTGCGCGTATCGGCGGGCGCGAGCATTGATGGCGGAGACTCGTCGTCGGCTGCGAGCATCTGTGAATGGGAGAGGGCCCGTGTGTTGCATCTGCACGAAAGTTCGGACTGCACCTCCGATTTTGCAGGCGCGGGCAGGCTGTGTGCGCCTCGCTGCTAAGTCACTGGTCGCTTCGCTCGCTTGTGGAATCTCTGATTTCAGTGGCCGCGACGTCAGCCGCCTCGACCAGACAGGCCAGCCCGCCAGTCAGCCCAGCCCGCCAGTGGACCAGTCAGCCAGGCAACCCGCGCGCTCGCCTGCCACTCGCAGTCAGAGATGAGAGGCTTCGAGTATCGTCAGAGGGAGGCAGTCCAGTCGCTCAACCTTCCCTGTCGCTGGCTTGACCGCTCAGCCGCCTGCCGCACAGATCCGTCATCGGCTCACGCTCACACCAGCCAAACCATCTTCTTTTCCATCACCACCTCCGTCTATCCACATCGTCTTCGACCTCAACGTCGCTGCCATCGCATCTCGAACTACCCGTTCAATCCGCACCATCCACCTCTACCAACCACTTCGAGTTTAACACTCCGCAGAAAAATCAGTCAACATGGCCGCCCAAGCTCAGCAGGTCCAGCAGAAGGTCGAATACTTTGTCGCCCAGGTTCGTTGCCCTTGTACAAGCTACGGCGCTCTCACGCCATCTTGATCGACGCTGCTGATACTGACGATTTGCCGCTTCCAACCACACACTCCATCGGTCGCTCTCCCATCGAATCTGGGCCTTATCGCCCCTATCTGCGCTCTTCCGATCGAATCCTTTCGATGCACCGATCTCTCCTCTCGGCCCCACGCTCTCAATGCTGCACCTGCGCCGCACCCTTATGGACAATCGTGTGCTATGCATGACAACAGATCGACAAGGAGGTAAGTTGAGCGCCGACTCGGGATGAAACGGAGGCATCCTCCTCTTTCCCTCCACGGAGACTGCATTGGCCATCGTTGACTGACCAACCTTGATCATTTACGCTCCTGCAACAGCTCTCCAGGTATCCCGCTCTGAAGAAGTTCGAGCAGACCGTCCCCATCCCTAAGGCTTACGCCGCTCTCGGCGCTTTCGGTATCTTCACCCTCGTAAGTAGACCATCACCCCCGCTCCACGCCTCGGCATCAGCACGAGCAAGGCGTGCCTTTTCGTGCTGCCTGCAGCGTCCAATTTCAGCCAGGAAGAAGTCGCCGTGCGCCTATCGGCTGGGAGCAGCGCTCAGCTTCGACCCGCGTCCCACTACGGATCGCGCATTTCTCGCAGTGCTGTTGTCCGACGGCAAGGAGGAAATTCCGACCAGGAAAGGACAATTCGCTGATCATCTTCGCTCCCGCCGCCGCCTTGCATTCGTCTCTCCCTCGACAGTTCGTCTTCTTCAACATGTAAGTCTCATTTCCAAGCAACAGGCTACAGCATCGCATCGAATCGTCGTGCTGCAGCAGCTCGATTCGCCGAGTCGCGAGCGCCTCGATACCTACGGAACGGCCGCTGATACGCACCTATCCTATCTCTCCTTTTCGGCATGATTGAATCTCGTTCGTCCGCGCTTGCCATCGACAGTGCCGCCGGCTTCCTCACCAACCTCCTCGGCTTCTTCGTCCCCGCCTACTTCTCGCTCAAGGCGCTCGAGAGCCCCCAGCCCGAGGACGACGTCCAGTGGCTCACCTACTGGGTCGTCTTCGGCATGTTCACCTTCCTCGAGACCTTCTCCAGCATCGTCCTCTACTACGTCCCCTGGTACTACACCATCAAGACGCTCGCCATTGTGTGGCTCATGCTGCCCCAGACCCAGGGCGCCAAGATGGTCTACAGCAAGGTCATCCGCCCTGCATTCCTCACCACCCAGAAGACCGTCCACAAGGCCAACGCCAGCACCCCTGCCGCTCCCGCCGAGACCCACTAAGCTCGCTCGCCCTCACACCGGCCGGGCCTCATTGCGCAGAAACAGCCGCACAGCAGCACGCACCGAGGCCGCAGCTGGCTGCCTCGCAGCTTGATGTGTCTATGGCGCCATCTGCCCGCTCGCTCACCCGCGCAAATGCGAAGCTGGTCCGCAACGGGGGTACTTGCCGTCATCGGTCCAGCCGATACAGCGTCGCAGTGGAATTCGGTCTGCCTCTACGCTTAGGGTGTGGCAGATCGTGTCTTCGATTGCTCGCGCCCGCTTCAAAATCCGCCCGTCCTTCTACCATCTACTGCCACTTTTATCCACCTTTCATCGCCCTGAGGCGTCCGGCTTGAAGCCTCGCTTTGGGTCGGCTTTGTCTCTAGCATCCTCCCATCCTACCTATCCGTGTACCGCGTCCTCGTAGTGCACGCTCATGACATGACAGCTCGCTGGATACGATGTTGGTCTGCGTGTGCTTGTTGCAGCCCCGGCCGGATCAATCGGCGTGCGGTTGCAGTGGCAGTTTGAACGAGTTGTTCGACTTTGAATCATCTTGAGACTGTTAGAGAAACGTCTGTCAACAAATCTCGGCGAAAAAAACAGGCGCGTCTCTCGCTCACGTCGCGTCTGTTTGGCGCCAGGCAAAGCAAGCAGGAGGAGACGGTGTGGAGAGAAGGCAGCTTGATGTGTTGGTCTGAGCCAAAATTCAAGGCACTGCTCCTAGACGCAAATGCAGGCCATCCACTTCCATCTCCTCCATGCACCACAGCAAGACCATCTCCGTCCACACCTCCCGGAACGCAGCACACGCCGACTCTCAGCACTGCGACTGCTGCGCGCTTCCTCGTATCGCCTCGGTGCTTTTGGTCGAGTGAGCCACGTGCATAGCCGACATCAAATCAACACGCGAACCTCTCCCACGCACGGACAGCTCGCCAACACATCATGCCGGCTCGAGTTGCGTCCGCAGACGGCGCTGCCGTCGCGGCGGATCGTCTGATCTCGCAGCTATCCAGAGGACTGTCGGCACCGTCTGCAGCCGCTGACACTGCCGATAGCCTCTCTTCTGCACTCCAGAGTCTGCAGCGCCACGCCCGCTCGTTCGGCTTCTCATCTCAGCATTGCGACCAGCTCGTTCGACTCGCGCTCATTGGTCGTCTTCGTCTCAGCACCGCAGGGAGCAGTGCCAAGCACAAAGCGCCCAAGACGTCAGTGTCTCTCACCATCCTCAGGAGCGTCATCCCCAGGCCACGCGCGAAGCTCGGACGACAGGCGGTCTTGGACATCGTCGCCGCGCTGGGCCCGTCGCCGGGAACCGACATGATCAAGCTCTCGGGAATGCAGAAGGACGACACCGAGTCGAATCTCGGGCCGGAGAGGGTCAAGGTGGACAGCAAGGTGCAGGTTGCTGCACTGAAGCTCCTGTGCGTCGCGCTCGACTCGCCCTCGGTGCCCTTGTCGGTAGCAGCCAGCTTCTATACAGACAGCAACAGCGATTCGGCACCCACAACGCGTCGCGATAGGGACCAGGATGGGCGCGAGCTCGAACGTCTGCAACGTCATGCGGCACAGTACTCGGGCTTGCCGGGCAACCTGCCCAGCACCTATCTCACCGCGCTCGCACGAACGACGCTCGAAAAGTGCTACGCGACGCTCTTTCACTTCATCGACTATCAAGCGCTGCGGCCTCACATATGCTACCTGCTCTGCCGCGTCACCAAACGCAAGCACGTGCGACACTACAGGATCACCAAGCTCATGGCCCTGCGCGCCAATGCGGCGCCCGAGCTCGGCATCTCGGCGCTTCTATCTACATACGCCAACTTCTATCCGGACCTGCTCTTTCCGGAGCTCCTCGGAGGCGGCGGTGCAAGCTCTGCCGCTGGAGCTGGCCCGGTCGGGCTCAAGTATCCCGAACCTGACTGGATTGCGGCCATCCTGCTGGCACATGCCCGGTGTGCGCGCAGGAGCGCAGGGGATGCGGTCGAGTCCGACGATGAGGCCGACAACGACTCAGAGTCGGCACCAGGCGGAATGCAACGAGCCACCAAGAAGCAGCGTCTCTCGGCCAAGAATGTTAAGGATGGCGGAGCGGACGAAAACGCTGCGTCGGTCCTGGGTGTCGTGTCTGCCTCCATCCCGATTCCCAATCTGGTGACGATTCAGCCGCTCAATTCGGCGCAGAAGGCATTTGGAACGCAGCCCTCGCTGGTCACGGAGCTCTCGTCGCTGCGTCACCTTGCCCATAGCTTGGACCGTCTCGTGCTGCCCTCGCAGGCGGCGGCGATGCTCGGCACTGGCTTCGGCGCTCGCATGATGCGCGTAGCCGTACTTGCTGGCGCCACCATCACCAACGAGGAGTCGCTCAGCCAGGCTGCGCCCGCCGCACGCCGTGGCCGGCAGACGGAGCACGATGCCTGCTGGGTGCGTCTGTCAGACTGGCTCGAGAGCGTGCTCGGCGACGAGATCGGCGTGCAGAGCAGCGCGGCGTCGGCTTCGCAGCGCCAGCATCTCAGATTGCCGTCGACGGACGCCGAGTTCAAGCGGCTCGCATCGCTGCTGCGTCGCGCGCGGCTCATGTTTGAGCTCGCCGAGCAGATGCCCGCCAGGCTCGAGGGGCTCATGTCCAGCGTTCTCTTGGCGATTGCCCGTGTCGCCGAGCCCGGGAGAGATGACGCCGATGCGTGGACAGAAAGGTGGGACGAGCTGACGCGCGAGGTGCTGAAATTTGTGCCGCTCGTCATGCCTTCGGATCTGTCGTCGTTTGAAGATCGGTTCATGACGCCGCTCGAAGCGCTGGCGCGGTCGACGCGCGTCTCGCTCGACACCTCGGCCGCGGTGCTTCTCGCCATCAACGGTCTTCTCACCAACTGGGCGGTACGCGACTGGCGCGATATCGGCGCGCGTCTCGATGCCCGCAAGTCTTAGTAAGTAGTCCCCACCCCATCTTCGCTTGTTGGTCTTGAGGGGCATGACAGCTAACGGTCCTACCTAACCTCATGAAATTTGTTCAGCCGATGGGGGATCTCGAATCTGGATCCGTCGGTCGACTTTGGCGAGCTGATCGCGGCCACGAGCGCACGCGCCGACAGGCTGGCAGCGACGCTGGTGGGCTTGTATCCGCGCCATGTGGCGATGGAACATGCGGTGTTGTCGCTATACGAGGGCCTCGCGCGCCACTTGGCTGGTATGGGGACAGTCGCAAGCGTACCGGCTCTGCCGCTGTATGCGTTCACGCTGCACGCCACGACGATCGTGTCGGTCTCGCGCCTGTGCGGTCTGATCCAGGATCTGCGCCACGCCTTCGAGCATCACAACGCAGTGGGTGCAAAGCTACCGGCAGTGGACGGGGGTCTGGAAAGCAAGTTCTACGATCTGTCTGCAAGCTTCTTCGAGGAGGAGAACTTGAGCATCTTGAACAGCAGGGTCACGCTCGTAGCCAACCTCATCTGGCTCGGCAAGATCGTCACCGAAGACGAGGCGGTGGGAAGCCTGCCGCCTGGACTGGAACAGTAAGTAGCCTGTCGATCCGCCTAGCCTTGCATCTTGGCTCGTACTGCAATGTGCTCGGTGTGCTGACAAGTCTCGCCCTTGCTCGCCCCCCCCCCC